AAATTTTTCAATTTTATTATTATTGAAATGATCTTACTTGAACATTAATATCAATTCTTCTTGTGTTTAATAAAACACTACATATTTCACTATGTCCATTCTGTGCTGCTAAATGTAAGCAAGTCATCCCATCTTCACTCTAGAAAATGGATAATTGGATGTGAGATATGCTAAGTGCTTCAAATATGTATGTACTAAACATGTTATTAAATTACTTACTCGTGCATCTAACTGAGCACCAGCTGCTAAGAGATATAAAACTATAGACAAATGATTATTTTCTACGGCCAACATTAATGGAGTAAAAAGCTCATTATTCATATGATCTACCGATGCTCCAGCCTGCAAAAGAAAAATAATGTAGCTATTTCTACTTGTAAATTTCAGTATATTACATAAATTTGATTATATTTGACCATATATTGTAGTCTTATGTGAATTATTTAACATAGCTGTATCCTTTTTCAAAATTTAAACATTTTCGTTAAACTAAAAACTATTAAAACATTATTTTTAAACATCAAATATTAAAACACAGATAATGATCAAAATTTACACAGTTAGATAAATTGAATGATGTGTAATTTATCTATTTTGGATGCACACTTATAGGAATTAAATGGCCAAATGCCAAGTAAAACTTATTTATGCATCCAAAAATAATTAAATGAAAACAACAAAAAAAAACATTTAAAACATATTTTATTTATTTTATTTTTTACATATTGTAATATTCCTAAATAATTAGTTATTCCCTTTTAACAATAACAAAAATATTTACTAAATAAGGCAAATTAAAATTTTAAAAAATATATAAATATGCAAAAAATTTGTATATTGATTTATCTTTTAAATGCAGATTAACCTACAATTACATGCAGTTTTTCCATACAAGTGCATGTATAATGGGCAATTCTCACTGATTTTTCACATGTAATTACACTGCACATAATTGCCAATCCTAAAATTTGACAATTCTGAAAAATCACGTGATGTGTATTCTCAGCAAATGCCTAATTTCAACTAACACTAGATTACAAAACTCTTCAGATTAAAATAGAGAACTGCTTTAAAAGCTCTCTAATTTGTCTGAATACATCATTATGTATCACTGCAAAATCTTATGCATGAACTAAATGTATTTGTAAAGTTTTAAAGTTAGAACTGTTAATGTAATGAAATTTGATGGTTAATAAAATTACATAAATGTCTAGCAGGAGGTTGTGTTAGAACTAGTTTATGAAATTAAACAAACAAGAAAGAAGAAAAATACAACAAACAGAAGTAAAAAGCATCAAAGAATAGTAACAGGATCCTATATTTCTTTTAATATTATAACATAATAAAGAAATATTACTTTGTACTACGTTTAAAAATTAAAAAAAAAAACATGAAAGAGAAGAAAGTATTGAATATATGAATAAGATAGAAACTTAAATGAAATTCTAACAAAAAACTAAAACATCTTGTTGGGCATATTTTAAATATTGTGCAACAATACAGATGTTTTCAGTATTTTGACCGATTTCAAAACCAGACCAAGTCAAAAATATTGAATACATCTATAGAATGTTGGGTAAAGACAAATTCAATCAGCACACATGCTAACCCAATACTATGAGAATTAAATCACATTTCAGCTTTAAGAGTTAAATCTAATATGGAATTAATACTAAGTTTAGCTTAATTCATTATTTAAATCTGACTCTAGATTTAACTTTCAAAATAAATATGGCCAAATTGAAAGATAACATCTAGAAACAAATAAAACCATTAAAATATAATTAAATCATTGATTCTTTGAAGCAATTTGAGAAATCTAGTCTATTCTTAGCAGTATCAGCAGATTTGGTGTTTGTCAGATAACATTTAATAAAAACATATTTGACAGTGCTTACTGACTTTTAAAATGAAGAGGTGTTAAACAACAATTAAAACAAGTAAGCAATAACAATTAAAGGCAACTAGCAAAGAAAAAAAAAACAAAAAAATTATTTATAAAAAATACTACTGTAATGTTTCCATTAAATTGAACAAGACCTTTTACAACAGTACGAATTTGTAAGAGAAGTTAATGATCAAATGTCATCAAAAGATTATATTTAACAGTTAATAATGTTAATTTTACTTTGTATTCACATATAACAGAATTACATGTAATTTAAAAAGTATGCTTTCTTGTTATTAAATTAAAAATTTATATAGCATTCACATGTTTTTAATAAAAATTTTGTTTTCACATTTTTATAATTTTTTATTACTATTATTAAAAAAAATAAATATACCTGGACTAAAATTTGTACAAAAGCAAGATGGCCAAGTGATGCAGCAATATGAAGAGGTGTTTCATTTTCGTGATCTTCAAATCTATGATTAGGATTGAAACCTATTGCTAAAAAATTAGCATTACAATATTTAATTTTTTTCAAAAATAAAAATCATAAAATAAATAATATGACATTTTAAAATTGATAAATAATTTAACATACCTAACATTTGTAAGAATTTATCAATATCGCCTGTTTTAATTGGGCCATAGAAAGATTTTATTGTGAACCGCATATTCATTTTCTCTCCAGACATCAATGATAATAATGATTGTTGTTGAAGTTTGTTGAGAGAGAGACTTTCTACATGTATAATAAGAAAAAATAAATAATCCAAATTTTATATTAATTTAATTTTTCTACAGAATTAGTTACCTGATGGAGAAATATTTTCAGATGATTCATCAGAATTATCCAGTTTACAAATATTTTCATTTTTCTCCTCTTCATTTGAAGATAAGTATTTCATACCTGATCTACAATTAAAAATGCATTAAATTGATACTATAATTATTCTGGTAAATAATACACAGTTCTGTACATTAGATCCTAAAGCATATATGAATTATTCATATATGATAAATGTTGCAAAAAATGTTTTAAATTTAAAAAGTAATTAAAAATGTAAATAAATATGAAACATCAAATTATTGCTTGAAGTTATACTGGATGGTTGTAATTAAAGTATCTTTATTCAAAGCTGCCAAAATAAAATTTAGCATTCCAAATGCAATCAAATCTAGTAAAGTGGCATTTTAGGACCAAAAAAAAAAGACATTTCTGTAAAAATAATTACTACCAACGCTCACCAATATGGCAATTTTGGCACTGCAAGTAACAACATTTTATTTGTATAAGATGGTCATATCAAAGAATACACCAAACCCAAACTGCCAAGACACTGATATGTGTATTGAAGCCTGCCACATTATTCATTAACTGTAATAATTGTGGTAACATCTTAATACTTGTAAAGTGATCTGCATCTTCAACTTCAATGAGGTTAAACTCCTAGATGGCCAGTTTTTTCAAATCCTGTGATCACTCTTCTGAGACCTTTAAAAATAATGGTCCACAGCATAAGTTCTTACAATTGTGGAGTTCTCAAAATGCAAGCACAGCATTGCTGTTATTTTCCTTAAACAGCTTCATAAATAAGGTGAATTCCAACAAAGTGATAGCAATTGAAACTGATAAGAATGACATTCAACATTGTGATCACACATAAAAAGTCACATTTTTATACCTATAACTTTGTTGCTTGAACATTTTTATACCTAGTACAATACACATGCTTTTTTTGTTGCTCACAGCACCAAAGGTGTCATAGTGGTGTTTTGGTACAGTCTTTTTTTTTTTTACAGAAATGTGTTCTGTATGTCTCGAAATGCCACCATAATAAATTTGGCTGCATTCAGACTTAAATATCTTGCTAAACAGTATTGAATAAGAATACTTTAATTACAATCATCTGGTATATTAAAGCAAATATTCTAAATTATTAATTCAATTTGCATCTTAGTTGAATACACTTCTAATAGATTTTTTTACTAAACCATTCATTTAAATGTCATAAATATTAAATGGGACAATTTAGAATTGTAAATAAATATAAACTATAAGTTTGTACTTATTCATCTACTCAATTAACCATACGAATATGAATATGTTACAAGATAAAATTTACAAAAGTATACATAATAAAATAAAAAAAATAAATGTTATTAAATTAACATCTGAAACTATAATGTAAAGATAGAAATTATTGATAAACGAATAAAATATAAGAATTAAAAAGTATTTTCTACTGGGATAAACAGTTAAAACTGTGAATTCATTTTATTTGCTTGTTAAAAATGTTTTGTATTTCAGAGAGATCATTCACAGATAAAGAATAATTATAAATTCAGATTCCCAGTATGTTTGAAGAATTATAAAGTACTTTTATAAAACTCAATCAGAAGATTCTTGACTAAAAATATTAAATTCAAATATTAGCTCTCAGAATTTTTTCAGTTATTTTAACATTTAAAAAAAAAGTTCTTCATTAAAAAATAACTTACTTGACTAAAGATTTTTCTTTTAATTTGCTTGGTGAACGATGAATATTTAACTCTAATTTAATCTTCCGAAAATTAGACTTTGCTCCACAATGTGGACATTTTTCACTCAAACCATTGACAGATGAGATGCAATGACAATGAAATAAATGTATCTGGCACCGAGTTTTCCTTTGCAATATGCATTGTGAAAATGTTCCCTATTAAATATAATTGAATACTTTATGAATATTTTTAAAAATTACTAGTGAAAAGTTATTAAATGAGAGTAGCCTTTTAAATATAAAATTAAAAATCGATATATTTTTAAGAGTCACTTAATCAAAAGATAATTTTTCTACTCTCTATAAGTTATATGACATTACAAATCTAGAAATATTAAATATTTCTTAAAATACAAATATAAAAATTTGCTTTCATCTTTTGAATTTAGTCATCAACAATTTATTCATTCACTACCATCATTAGAACATCATTTTATTTTACTATTAATGTTAACTATATGGACTTTATGTAATAGTAGATAACTTGTTAAAAATCTTTATTTTCAAGTATTAAACTATTTCCAAGAAGTAAATTTTATGGAACTGCAGATCAAGAGATAGAGTACTGCAGTTTTTCTAATGCAATCCTCTGTTCAGTATGACTTCAAAAGAACAGGATAGGAAGATAAAATTAAGTGAAATCATTGATAAAAATTTACTTTTCTTAAAATAATTCAAAACTAACTATATATGATACTGTATCAGTAATTTTCATTACTTGTATAGTAGAGTAAAACTATAATTAACCTATAAATATCACTCATTGTAATTTAGATTTCTTAACAGGCAATTTTGTAAGTTTCTTTATTGTCATTTTGTATCACATAAAGCATTTTTGACTACTATAACTTTTACCAGCAAAGTTATTATTCAATTATCAAACATTTTCAGTTTCATCTCAGAATACACTGAATAGAAAAGAACATAGAGGTAAAAACAATCTTTTTCTATATTCTTAATGTTTTACTTTTTTGTTTTTATATTGTCTACCTGGATCTCGTTCATAAATAGGACTCATTATACCAGTGTGGTTTTTGATTTGCAAACAGAAGAAGACTTAGTCAAAATATCTCTATTTTCACCAGATGAAAAGAAAGATATTTTAACTAAAACTTTGCAAATCAGAAACTACACCAGTATAATAAGTCCTATTTATAAATAAGGTTCTCAAGTAGACAAAATAAAAACAAAAAACACAGAAAGGAATACACAGTTTTGAAATTAAATAAAATACACAATTCAAATTTAAATATTTCTTTTTATGTTCTGTTCTATTCAGTATCCTGAAAATGGCTACTTGACAGCAAAAAAGTAAACTAGTAAAAATTTGAGTGATTATACTGTATTATCTTTTTTATTATATATTTGTTAATATTAATTTATTATGTAATCTTATTTATTAAATGAAACTGTAATAAATTGTAACTTTGGAATTTGTATTGTAAATTGTAAAGAATATCATTCTTTATCTTTTAAATGAAGTGTTTTCATAATCAATCCACATATAGTTATTTAAACTTTTACTTTACAAACAGAATTGTTTTTTAAATTAAAAAAAGCTTTATATTAATTATTTTATTTTCACAAAATTATTTAATTTCTTCATATTTTATTATATTTTATTTTTTTAAAGTAAAATCTTTGTGATTATTGATAGGATCTAAAAATTTTACAAACTGCTATAATCTGTGAACTATAGCTAGTAATTTGAAATGCATATGCAAATATAAATATAAAAATTGAACTATAATAATATAAATTATGAATATTTTTAAAATTTTAATTTTTAAATAAATAAAGTAAGTTACTTGTGTGCAAAAAATTCCACAACATGGACAACATTGATGATGATGCAATCTCCACATATGAACTTCACATAACATCATATATGGAATTATTGTTGATGGACGAACTAATACATGATTACTGACAATGTTACTACATCCAATGACCTAAAAAAATGTGTAGATTATTTTATTAATACTTTTTAATAACCAATACGATAAGATCAAAATTTTTGATTTAAAACAACTTAATATCTTAAAGGTATTATAATTGAATATACAATAACAACTGTATCATTCATCTCATCAAGGATATTATCTTGATGAGGCAAAATATTTCAATAATTTCAACTAACAAAATTTATTCACTCTAGATCAGTGTCTTACCCAGAGTGAACAAATGTCATCTGTGAACAAATTACATCTGATCACCATATGAAGCATGCAATGCCATTGTTTTCTAAATACATTTTATCGAAGAATTGAATTCTAAATGTAACGTTTTCTGCCACAAAAGAATATTGTGGTGATATTGGCAGTGTAAGTGGTTGTATTTTGAAGATGAATTTATGTGAAAATATAATGTTTAAAGTGCCAGAATGCAAGTCACGTGATTTTTGGCATGTAAAACATGGGCTTATATTTACATCATTTTGGTATTCTGGAGAATTTGTAACCTAGTGAGTATTTTACCATTTTATTGTAAAATTGAAATGAATTCATTTATTAGAAAAAATGTTTTTTAACTCTCCTGAAAAGTTTCTTTTTTGGCATTTACAACATTATGGCATTGCACGCTTCATATAAAATCAGGGGCTATGGAAGAAACTTGTCATGGAGCTACCACTGATTTACAAGTTCAAAGTTATATCAAATTAAATTTATCAACATATTAAGCTTTGAAACAATTCATATTTTTTTCTACATAAATAAATATATAACTTATTCATGCTATTTACAATATATATCTGCAGCTTTGAAGAATAAGGGTCAATATCAAGGACATTCTTCCAAGTTAATTCAATATATATATATATATATATACACACACACATATTTCTTATTTACATTTTAAACTTCTTTGATTTTTAGCAGAAAAAAATTAGGTGGGCTATGGGCTACTCAGCTCTCATTTCCAAAGCTCCTGAGAATGGATGAACTGCAAACATCTGGCTATAGATATAAAATCATATCCATGTGTGAAGGGAAAATAAAGAGTGTAACAATTTAACATCATTGCTCAAGTCACTAAATCTGAGCTCAAAGGTTATGCAGAGATTCATTATTGAAAAATCTACTTCAAACTCCCTAAGCTACTGATGGTAAAAGCAGATATGGTTATTATATGCCCTCAACAATTGTGAGGAATATGTAAAGAATCAATCAGAACTATGATCCAAATTTAGTGTATATATTTGACCATGAATATTAAATACATAAAATAACTAGATAAATCTTATACTATTACACATTATCAAATTACATTCAATCAGATACAACACTAAGATGCAAATACATTTTTTTTATACTGATCTGCTATTGCCTAAAATGACGAACACAGATATGTATAAAAATACAGACAAATCATAATCCTGCTTAGCATAGGAGAATAGAAACACAACTAAATGATAGATAACAAATAAACAGGAAAATTACATAAACACACACAATATATATGAGGCTGTCCATAAATGATATCAAGCCTCATGGGGAAGATGGCAATTCAGAATGTAACACAATGTTACAAGAGGAAATGAAGGAGAATAATCCTTGCGATGTCATATTTCACATTTATCATTAATTAGTATCAGATGCTTTTTAACACAATATGTCACATTTAAAACATACTCTTTAAAATTTTAGTTTTTGTACTTAAATTTATATAAGAATACCATAAGATAGCAAAATTTAAGTTTGTATTGTTATATTGTTTGTACAGTTAATTTACTATGGCTGGTAACAATTAATCTGTTATGGTTGCGGTAAAATGATTCTGTACAGTGGAATTTACATCATCACATTCACACTATTTGTATGTTACAAATAACCCATCAGTTCATCACTTACAAGTCTGAAATCAAAAGAATGATAAGATAAGTAGCATTATGAGGTCCTGGAAATGTCCTGGAACCACACTAAAATCTAAAAATCACAAAATTTGTTAATATTATAAAATATAAATTTTTATGTCCATAAAAGGAAATATTAAATTTAATAGAGAGGGGAAAAAACATTTCCTCAGAAATTAGACAAACGAAAACTAGACAATGTAATCCTAAGATCAACTATCTGCGGTTGGAATCGAATTAAATGTCAATTTTTGACTCATCCTGTGATCTGAGTTCAGATCTCATTACACTTAGTAATGAGTGACAACCAATAAGAAAGTGGGGATGAGAAAAAATAACCAATTGAAGTGGTTGATCTAGAACCAAAACTGATAAAAACTCTGATTTCAAGGACACAAGGAGCTTCTCTCTCTGATTTTTCATTGTGAAGCATCTTCCTTGGTTGAATTCTCCACATCACCCCTGACTGATCTGGACTGATCATCTTCTCAACAGACTTTCTCACAACAACGCCCCAAATTCATATTCATTCACAATTCCAATACGAACATGAAATTCTGAAACCTTATCCTTAGAGAAGTCTTTTGCTCTTCCCAAACTCGTGGTTTCTGATTGGCATTGCTTTGATCTCTGAATGGTGCTTAAGGAAACCATAGTACCAGCAACACCAGCTCTTTTTTTTTATCTTTAATGAATCACTGATTGATTCTGTTAGTTTCAGCTATCTGATATGACAATTCCATCAAATCTTTCCATGTTAGTCCAAAAACATTGATTCCAAGTAAAGAATGTGTTCAGCTAGATCATCCTCTATTGCTTTAGGAAGTTCATATCTCATCCAAAGTGTTTCTTCTCATCAATGATGAAAGCATTGATACCATCAAAGTGTCTCTTCAATGTAGCTTAGGAACACTGTAATTTCTCACAGCTGCATTTAGACCCATATCACCATTTCTGAATACCCAAGTGTTCAAACAGTTATAGTAACAAGTAATTGAAAGTGTCATCTTGAAATGCATTCTTGGTACAATGCAGGAAATCATGCATTGGTCCAATATAAGAGACATGCTAACCACTTACCATTGTTTATTCCCTAAAAAAATATATAAATTTCTTTCATCACGATGCGTATTAAAACTTAGGTTATAGACTCAGTTAGTAATTGAAACAGCCATACTTACTGTCTACAAATTCACAGAACTTCTATAGCACTAGATAATAATCAAAATAATTACACCAAACACAGTTAAAGATAAAAATACATCATAGCTTTTACAAATGTGAGCTAATATCCACCATTTTGCTCTCAGGAAAGTCACATGATATAAGCTTCTAATCAATGCTGCCAGATATCAATTTCTTTCAAAAACTACAGAATAATGTGAACAGTCCAATTTATAAAATGATCCAATATCCACAATTTTCCCCTACTATGAACTCCTTGGTTGTCTTTGTTTCTAAAATCAGTTAAATTAAATAAGTTAATTTTATACACAGAACTTCTATATCCATCAGAGTATGGGAGTGAGACAAGCACACTACTGTATTTACAAGTTAATCAGTTATTTAATGTGTTAAAAATTTTTATTGAGTTTTTGAAAGATTTAAAGTTTACTTTCAGAATATTACCAAAGAAAGAAGAAATATAGAAAAGTGACATTTGATAATATTTTCTAAATCTGTACACTACAGAGTATCACATAAACTGGAAAGAAAGAACTTTTGAATTTGTTTGGAATGCTTTAGTTGAGAACAGATGATGTTGAGTAATGGAAATGGTGTTGAGGATGATGACAGACATGACAGGATAAAGCATTCCCATGGATACACATACCTCCAATATTCCCACTGTGTCAATTAAAGAGAACCTTACAACCCCACTGGAGTGAAACAACTCACTAGCAGAGTGTAACAAAAATAAAATTTTCATTAATATAATGCTATTGTTATTGTAACGTATTGTGTTTTATCTTGATAAAAGTGTAAATAAAGCATTTTAAGTTAACATTCATTACAGTTACAAATTCAATGCAATTGATGCAGTGTATATTTACATCATAATAATGAAAAGGCTTTGTTGAGGGATGAAAACCAATGTGACATCATTTCTGAAAGGGGCTATGTCATAATGTGACAATGAATAACATGGGAGTTAAAAATGTTAAAAGGTTAAAAATGTAAAATTTTAGTGTGATATCATTTATGGATGGCCCTTATATACATATTAACACACCATCAAAATTGATGAAATCAAACAGAAAAATATCCAAGAAAAGTAAAATATACAAGACATAAACAATGTAGCATAATATAAACTCAAAAACTACAAATCACAATGACAAAGAATATAAAACTGTTCACTACAGAAAAACTAAGTTATTTAGAAACAAGGAAAAGTATTATATAGATAAATATGTAGAAAAACTATCTCATAATTGCAAAATTATAATATACCAAGAAAAAATTAATAAAATATTAGTCATCCCCTTAACTCAGTACTCTCATACACAATAATACATCTAGGATATCAAGCTTTTAACACATATTACAAAAATATAATTCATCCAGAGCCTGTATACCAACACAAATTTTTATATACTCAGATATCAAACAATAAAATGCATCATAGACCAAAAAAAACAGCAGCAACAACACAGTTTAAATTAATTTTCGTTATCTGAGACATGTAAAAACATTTAAAGATAATAATAATAATAATAAACAAAAACGTGCAGAATATGCCCAATAGATCAAACAAGGTTCAGTAAAATTTTGATATATTTTGGAAGTTTATTCATAACTTAAAAATATTATGACAACACAATACTTCGAAAACATAAAAACTGTAAGTGTCTTGGGTCCATTTTTGCATGCACAGCAGCTTACGTGAAAATTTTAGTTCATCAAGAATGAAAATAGCTTTTAGTTGCAAAAATATTTTGTGTCGAAAAACAAAATGTCAAGTATTAATAGGTCACTCATCAGTTTCAATTTCAGTTCCATTAATCACATATTACATCAAGTTTAAAACTGATGCTATCCCATAATGATGGATGATAAGTGCTTAATAATATTTTAATTAGAAGGAAAAGGATAAAT